TATAACTAGGAGCTGGGAGATAACAGGAGCATGTGAGATCAGAAAACAGAGGCAATGTGTTATCAAACCTAATTGACCATTGTACTCCTGATATTTTTGGAGTTGCTCACTTTTCTACAGGAAGACAGGATCAGCTTGGAGCCCATTTTCTCTCATGTACAGTGAGAAAAGAGAAATCTCTAGTTTGAGGCAAAAAGTAGAGGCATCTATTTTTTACCCGTAGGTGATTCACTGAATCTTTGTTTCAATGGTTTGGTTCACTTGCCTTTTGCTCCCTGTGTATCCTCTCCTTCCAGCTGAAGGAGGATCTGTTCTCTTAAAAGGATTTTCTCCTCTATTCATTTGCACAGGTGAGCTTGACTAATCCCATTCACAGCTTGTAAACTGAATATCACCAAACAAGAGCCAGTGATGGTTTTCAGTAGCGAACAAGTAAACAAACATATCAAACCAACCTGCATCACATCGTTTGTTCAACTGTGCAACTGTCATGTTTTTACAGCACATTGATGATTAATACCAATACATCCAACAAAACATGAAGACTAAAACCAAAGGAAAGAAGCAAAGTGTTGACAAAGAAGCATTTTCTGAGGAGTTAACAGGGAGGAAAAAAGAACTGGTGAAATGTTTGCGACGCAAAGAAAGGAGGAATGGGGGAAACAAGGAGAGCAGCAAGATCACTCCAGCCAGAGCCAAGCGTCCTTGGAGTGGGAAGGACAGGCATTTGAGGAGACTGGAAAGCAACGAGCGGGAGAGGCAGAGGATGCACAAGCTCAACAATGCGTTCCAGGCCTTAAGGGAGGTGATTCCTCACGTGAGAGCTGAGAACAAACTTTCCAAAATAGAGACTCTCACACTGGCCAAAAATTACATCAAGTCCTTGACTTCCATTATACTCAATATGTCCAATGGGCACTTTCCAGCAGCAGAAGGCACAGGGGGAGCCTGGGGGGCCAAATTGCACCAGCATTACCAACAGCAGCATGGGGAGGATGACCATGAGGAACACCTACAAAAATATTCCATGTAGATTCACAGCTTCAGCCAAAACACTTACAGTTAGCTGCTGCCATTATTGTTTCTCCTTCTTATAATACATCAGTAATTGAGGTTTTAAGGGATTATTTTTGCCTCCAGCTCTTCTCTATTTTCTTCCTTAAAAAGACAAGAAGGTAACACTCATGGCTATAGTTTATATGGCACATAAAAATTACCTTAAATGATATGAATTTTTAAGTGCTTAGTGGATATACTTGTGTGATGTGTCAGAGTCTGGAGATCTATCTTATAACATTGCAGCTGACTTGAGAGTAAAGATTCAGTAACTTGTGAAAATTACCCTGCCTGGAAGGATTGTGAGTTGAGAGTTGAAGGTGTGTGTCCCCTGAGTTCATTAGAGCTTGTTGAGAATCTTGGCTCATAGCTCTGTTCACCAACCTTTCAGGGACTGTTGTTACCTGCCATGCTACAGAGGAAGTTAAAATTGATGACAACATTTGGCTAACTTAATGACTGCATCGGCACATATGGGAAATCAGTCACCAAATCTGAATATTTGAGTGGTTTGCATCTGCTCTGCTAATTCTGAACCTTGCGAAGCATAAAAAGTTCCAGCATACTTGTTGATGTAAACGTCTGCAAAGCTTTCTTAGATTGTGAGCTCTCTAGAGTGAGGACAGTTCTGGGCTGTGTTTCCAGAGCATCCAACCTCATGAAGTTTTTCCTTAGTGGGTATCTGGGTGCCATTTTAATACAAATAATAAATAGGGGACAAATTACCAATTTTTGCCAAAATGATGATAAAAATGCTTTAGTATAGTGTCAAGTTAGACAGTGATCTATCTAATTTAAATTATTAGCTAATGAAGCCTGTAGTGTGATCAGGTTCTCTCTGGGTTAGTGTTAGATTCTGGTATTATAAAACAATAAATGAAGCAGAAACTCATCAAAAAAGAAAATGAGCTTTTTTTCTTTCCTCCCATTTTACAGTAACAAGTTTTATGTTGCTGAGGAACTCTCATTTCCTCTTGTACTCTCATACCTGAAGCACCTGCAGCTGGAGTACCCTCAGCTGGAGCTGTACTGCCCATGGAACCCTCGTGTTACAGCTCCTCCTCCCACATCCCGAGCCCTGTGCTGGCAGGAGGCTGCTGCTCTGTGGTGTGGACAGCAAAGGTAACATTTGGCATCTCGTGCACCACTAGGATTGATAATAGTTTGTGGTGTGGTCCTTCCTCCTGCAAAGTAAGGCTATCCAAGAGGAATGGTGGTCAAGGAAGGATTTATTGCAGAAGAGTTATGCTGCACTGTGTGGTTTGTAATGTGCAGTTTCTTTTGCTCAGGCACAGCATGATGACTTCATTCAGACTAATAGGTGGGGTTTACCAGACAGGCTGGTAAGGGATGTGAATTATTTTTCTCCACCATAGCAATCCACAGCTATGATGTAGAACACCACAGTGGTTTGAATGTGTGCTTGCCTTACTGGAGAAATTATTTGGATCCTGCCTTGACTTGGTATTTTGTAGTTTTTGACCTGTTTTCACCCTGAAATAAATGTAATTAGCCCTTCTCATATTTGCTAATGAAGGTATTGCTGAGTCTCTTACAGATTTAACTTGCCACCTCAGTGCTGCCCTGTGTTAGTAAAGCCCTTATTTTATTTATATGTTTTCTAATTGTAATGAGGGACATCAGTAATGCCAAGGCCTTTTCTTTCAGTTGTTTCACTCACCATCTCTTCAGGTGAGAGATGTCAGATGTTATTTGGTCCTTCAGCACAAACAGAGCCTGATGGGCTCATGGTCACAACAGGCAGAGCTGTGTGTGGGATGGTGGGAGCAGCATTGCAGCACCATGGCTGGTTGGTACCTGGGGAGCACACTGGTGTCACATCCACCCACAGTGCCTGTGCCAGGCTGGCTGGAGCCTGTGTCACATCAGTCACTTGGACTCAGTGCATTTGGGCATCCAAATGCATTGTCTGGGCACATGCCCCGTACAGATTACACTGTGTGCTGGTTTGAGCTGAGTTAACTTGTGACCATGAGGCATTTTTGGTGGGCTTGGCCTCCAGTGAGGGATGCTCCTGAGGGAGCCTGTGGGGCCAGGCTGGAGGTCAGTGCCCCAAGGACCTGCAGCTGGGACAGTGGTGGCCCTGGAGAGGCCCCAGCACGGAGCCTGTGTGAGGGCACTGCAGCCCGGTGTGGCTGCAGAGAGGGCCCTGGGCTGCAGCAGTGGTGGCTGCAAGTACCAGCATCAGCTATGTCTGTGCAACCTCCATCCTTGGAGTGTTCAGAGACTGACTGGACATGGCTCAGAGCAACCTGTGCTAGCCCCACAGGGGTTGGGCTGCATAGCTTCCAGAGGTCCCTTCCAGCCCCAGTCCTGTGGTTCTGCAAGTCACACAGTTAAGTGATGACCAAGCACGTGTAGATTGTGGTAATTTTTTGTAGGATTCTTTAAAGGTTATTATCTGAGTGTTTCCAGACAGTAAACGTTGTCCCTGAAATGTTTTCTGTGGGATAGCCATGTCTGGATTGCAGTTTGGTTCTGCTGCCAAAAGGAGGAAACCAATGAGTTTAAACCCAGTATTTTAACAGTGCTGTTAATGAAGAGTTGCGTATCACTTTATGAACCAAGTCCATTGATATTCCTGTTAGACAGTCAAGATGCTTGGGCAGTCTATTTCTGACAGGACTTCCTGCACCCAGAGGCATAGAAAATATTAAGCCCCAAATGACATGTCCTATCTAGCTAAAAATACAACAACAGAGGGGACAGGTGAGTTACCCTTCTCTGCCCACTGCCATCCCCAATGGATAGTCAGGCTCTGTCCATAGGCATTTTAATGGAGTTGCAGCTGCTAGTTCCACAGTGGTACTTTGCACAAAGTGCTGTGTTCTTGGACATGTCAAAAGGGATTTAGGAAGAAGCATTTTTTTCTGATAAATTACTTTTATTTTTCAAAATTGCTTCAATTTAAAGTCACTTCTCATTTTAACTAGCCACAACAATGACATTGTTTTTTTAAATGAAATCATTTTCCAAATAATAGTTCTAAATAATAGAAGGCAAATACTTAGTACTCAAACATAAACAACTTATAATTTATCTTTTTTTTTCACTTAAACTCAGC